AGGCAGCCAGGACCAGATAAATATTAATTTTCTAAAATTTTTAGGGGCTCTGCAGGCCAGATAGAATGGCCTGGCGGGCTGCGTTTTGCCCACCCCTGGTCTAATGGCTGGTTCCACTGATTACAGTAGCCTGTAACTTACTGATGGCTCCTGGAGTTACACCTTTAACTTCATTGGTAAGAGGCTGAAAGCCCCAGGGTCTAGCCTTAGTAATGACAATAGTGTCTGACTATACAACAAAATACTAATGATACACATCTAGTACCATAGTTATTTCTGCAGTTATGAAAATGATGTAAGGTATAAAGCTTTCTGTTAAGTTTAAATCCTTTTATTTTACAATACAGGCAGTCCTCGACTTACAACGTTTCGAGTTATGTTTCTCACTTACAACATTTATAAATTGACACCCTGTTTCAACTTTATGATGTCAATTTTGACTTTACAATGCTCGATCCAATGCGACATCATGCCAGCAAACAAGTTCACTGCGTTGTTCATCTCCCTGGAGAACATCTGCCCAAACTTCCTTGGACACTTTCTTTAAGAAAGCAGACAAGACTCCAGAAAAACCTGCAGCCAAGACTCCGTCAGAAAGTCCAACCAAGAGCCCTTCAAAAAGTCCAGCAAAGTCACCTCAAAGAAGTCCTTCCAAATCAAATGAGATTGCTATTTACAATATAAATACATTAATGTAGCTATAATTGATTGAGTACAAAATTCTGGGGTATTTTTGGTGAAAAACAGGGTATCAGGTTTTGGTTCAGGAACCCCATTTATAACATTGTTTCTTATGAGAAAATTGCTTCTGAGTTACATTTTGACTTAAGACACAGTTTTCAGGAACCAATTGTGTTGTAAGTCTGAGGACTACCTGTATACTAGGTATAGTAGGCTTTTGGTTGTGTAAAGGTAAGCCAATTAGCATAAGTGAGATGAAGGGAAGTATAAAAGGAACTGACCCACAGGTAAAAGTACATTCTAAAAAAGGCTAACTCAGACCTTCCTTGATTGGTGAAGGTCAGTATGTTTCAGTCTGATCACAGTATGACTAAGAATATCGTTTTTTTGACCATCTTTGTCTTATTCTGGTTGCAGACAGCTGTAAGCCTCTATTTGAGGAAGGGGATAAAAGGGGCACTCAGTGTTCTAAGACATGTTTTTCTGGCATCCTTTGCTGAGGTTCACATATGTAGATATCAGGAAGATCCAATGCATCTTAGAACTTAGTCTTTGAATTTGGGTTAGACTTCCCTAACAGTCTGGCCACCTTCTAGAAATGGTGCAAGGTTGTAAGATGTAGAGATTCTGAGTTGTAGGACTGTTTATTTCTGATTGGATCAGAAACCTCTATTTATATTTATATCTATATATATAGTGTTATTATTTGCTGGCAATAGTCAATCTGAGAAATTTAATGAAATATGCTTTTGCATTCACTCTATTGGGGAACTCATTGTGCTTAACGCAATGAAGAATCTGAATTGACTGATGCATCTGTAAAAATGGAAATTAAGGGCTATAACCTGTTTACTGTCAGATATTGATCATTATTGTGCAAATAAATTAAGGCATCAAAAATAATCCAGATATAGGAATTGTGGGGATGCCACTTTTCTGAAAGCCTCTGAAGATCTTCACAATGGGGACTGCAGCCCCGTGGCTACGCCCACACTGGGCCTATCAGTTTTGCTCTTGAAACCATATAGCACAGAGAGAAGTTGGAATATAATACGTCCTTTAAGACTTCCAGAATCCAAGAACATCTGGGTTGTAATGCATATTTAATTTAGCACTCTTCTAGAAAGAAGTGTTTAAAACCCAGAGATAAAAGAATGCTACATGGATATATTGTTTGTTGCCTGCCAGGTACTAAGTAGTCAGATCATAAAGTGCAGGAACTAGCTGCTCAGTAGATGAAGCTTTGGTGGAGTCACTTTTCAAGTGTTTCAAATGCTAAGACAGTTCTATGAGGCAGGTACAGTGGCTAACTGAGAAAATAGAGCTTTTATTGACTGTTTTCCTTGAAGAAACATGACAACTAGAAGATGCAGTAGCTGCATTGCTGACTTGCAATTGAATGAAGGAGCATAGTTCTCCATGGAATCTCAAGACTGCAACCTAGGTTTTCTTTTTTATCTCCAAAGAGAGTTCCAATTTACCTGATCGTACCTCAAATAGTTAATCACTTGTCATTTAAAAATCACACAAAACTTTTTAAAACAGTCACTTAATTTGGGATTACATGTAGTGAGCATACTACACATGCAATTAATGCATCTGAATTTACTGCACAGTAAATTCAGGCCCATTAAACTGCTCCTGGGTGCACATCAACATATGTGGCCAGATCAGGAACAAATTGAGTGTGACAGGAGAAGCCTAGTCCAGGGCTGCTCCTGCCTGCTCTGCCCCTCTGTAGAAGCCAGGGGGAACTCCAGGCTCCCCCAGATGCTATTCCAGGCTGGCAGGGTGCACTGGGGGCAGCTCTGAACTGGCAGGGGGCTTCTGGGGACAGCCTTGGGCTGGCAGGGGGAATGATGAGCCCTGAGAACTGGGTGGATGGGAGGGAGCTGTCACAGAAGCTCCCAGCTGTCTAGGGACAGTTCCCAGCCACGCAGCCTCAGGGTTAGCCCCGAACTCTGGGGAAAAAGGTGGGGGAGCTCTTGCGGCAGTTCCCAGCTATCTGGGAACAGCTCCAAGCCACATGGAGCTCCCCCTAACCCCTTGGAGCTTGGGGCTTAGCCAGGCAGTAGTTGTGGCCCCCTGCTGCCTGGGAACAAAGTTTCCAAATCAGTGTCTAACACATGTGCTTTGGCGCATTAGTTTAAAGCGCTGTTTTTTAGTACCCATCCTTGTTGGTACTAGCAAACAGTGCTTTAAATTAACCTACTGCATACTAATTACTGTGCTTGTGTAGACAGCGACACTTTTTACTGCACATTAGATTAGTCTAATGTGTGGTAAAGCGCACATGTAGACATACCCAATGGTACCAGAAATCGGCATATTAAACTAATATGCCAAAGCGCATGTGTAGACACTGACCAGGAGCAAATTGCTCCCAGTCAACCTAGGCAGCAGGGGACCACAGGGGGTAGGGAATGCTATCCTGGCTCAGCATCTGGATCTCCACATGACTGGGAGGCAGCTGCCTGGCAGCTAGGACAGCTCTCCTAGCCCTGTAGAGAATGGGACCAGCTTCACCCCCCACACCCCGGTGTCCCCTGCCAGCCTGGGGCTGGCAGCTGGGGGAGCCTGGAGCATTCCCTGGCTGCTGTAGGGGGGTAGAGCAGGGCAGGAGCAGCCCTGGACTGAACTGCTCCCATCAGGGTGGGTGCATACTCAGATGCATGCAGGGCCACTGTTTAATACACCCAAATTTTCTATGCAGAAAATTCAAGTGCATTAATTGCAGATGTAGACACACCCACTGTGACTTAATTTGGGTAAACCTCTTAGGGGAAAACTTCACTTGCAGGTTTCTCCAGACATTTTGTATGATCAGCTACATGTTGTTACTAGTACAGGGGTCAGTGCTGTTTTGCAAACCCCACTGCTGGGAGTATTGCCCGTGGGCATTTATACACATACCTTTTCATCCTGCAATGTGCCAGAGATCCACCACTTCAAAGCAGACTTGTTTAATCGAGTCTGCTCTGCACACGAGCTGATGCAAACTGTGCTGCACTGCATGCAGATGTATAAGTGGCAAAATGTGTGTCTGTGCAGAAAATGGTGGCTGTGTGCTTTTGAACTAGAGCACCTTTCAGATGTTTTAGTTCAAAAGTGAACCACTGCCAGTTTCTCAGCACTGACATGCATTTTGCCATTCATACTGCTGCAAATACAGACAGTCAGGTTATGTGTTATAAATCCATGGATCCATAAATCCTCTCCCCCACACCCAGCGTGTCTCTCACCCACTGACTCCTCAGTTTACATCTTCACTGACTGCCTGTGCAGACCAGCCCAGCCTCTGACTTGTATGCAGACCAGCCCAGCCTCTGGCTTATTTACTACCCATTCCATCCAGGAAGAGCGCATGCCAACTGCTGAAATTTCCTCAGCCTGACGAAGGGTTTTTGAACCCGAAAGCTTGCTTAAAAATTGTTTTCCAGCTATTTAAGTTGGTCTAATAAAAGGTATCAGATTCACCCAAAGAACCTTGTCTGCCCACTGGCAACTCACATTTACCAAAAATGTTGAATTTGGTATTTTTGTTGAATTACCTAGAAAAAGTGAACCATGCACAGAAATCTCTGTCATGTCTTCTGCATTCTGCTCAATGCTGAGCTGGTGGCAGCTGCCTGTGCTCTGGACTACTATCCAGAAGCCCAAATTATGACATTTTCAGATTCTGATTGGATTTGCAATTCATTTACTGAATTCTTGTCTCTGGCAATACAGGAGAGTTCAGTACACTGTTGAACTGACAAACTATGGAAAACATTGAGCGCCAACAATTTGTACTAAATTTGATATAGCTCCTGTGGTTCAAGGGACTCCCTTGGATTTAATTCAGCTGCAGACTACAGACACTAACATGTCTCAGATGCTGAAAGCATTCAGAGATAATAGAGGAACTACATCTTAAGTGAGACTTCCAGCAAGAATCTCCCTAACAGGCTGGCCATCTGTTAGAAATTCTTAGGATTTTACATTCTAAATTATAAAACTGCTTATTTCTCCTTGGATCATAAAAGTATATTGAGATATATATTGTGTTATTCTTTACTTGCTTGCAATATTAATAATTTGAGAATTATAACAAAATTTGATTTTGCAGTTACTTTACTGGAGGACTTTGCTGAGAACAGGGGATGTCAAAAATAAATCTCAGACCCCTGAATCTCCTTCAGAAGTCAACAAAGGGTCCAGAAGGCAAGGAAAGAGTGGATGGAAATTCTCCAGGAGAAGGGGAAGCTTGGTGACAGAAAGCCTGAAATTTAAAGAAAGTGGAGAGTGCACTTTAAAGAGAAGTCATCTCCATGCAACCATGACACAAAATGTGCTTTATTAGGTGAAAAGGGACAAAACACAATTCATTCTACCTCTCCACTTCCAGGTGAGATATGCCTGGAGAGCTGTGTCCTTCTCTTTAGCAGAGGCCTAATGTGTTCCAAGCCCTAAGCAATATTTTGTCTGAGAAAGAGTCCATTTCAATAGCTGGCAGTTGTGGTATGTGCATTCAGTTCCACTGGCTTGGGATATAGAGTACAGTCAATAAAATGAAATATAAAGGTTTCCGTCTGGTAACCTAAACAATAGTTCCTGGTTGTTCCAGTTCCCTTGCACAGAGTGCTAACGTGCACTGTATGGACAATCTTTTGTTAGGCTATAACAGGAGATGGGAAGGCCCTGCTACATGAATTCTCTTTGATATCTTTCCATCAATACCATTATCAACAGAAGCCATTTTACTAGCATTTCACCTACACATAAAGGGCTAAACTATCTGCTGTAGACTAAGATCTACATTGTGCAGGAGAGACAGGGTTATCAGGGCATTGATTTTCTAGCTAGTTTCACTTCAGCTCCTGGGGAGGCTGGAGCAGCCTGGATACAAGCATCTAAGGACTATAAGCCAACTGCTGACAGCTAGCCTAGGTTGCTGTGTGTTCCAGCCCCAATGTCCCTGCCTGCCTGTCCCACTATCTAGTCTGAAATCTGAGATAATTTCATGGACTAACACCACTAGGCACATAACAGATAAACATCTCTGATAAATTGACAAGAAGATGGGAAGCACTGCCATATGCTATTACCCACACTGAAATTAATTGTTTGCATCCTTGTCAACTCCACCACGAGGGAAAGTTTATGCTCTTTCTCTTCTTGTCTGGGTACTGAAGAGCATACAGATATGACATGTACTGAAGCTCAGGCGTGATCATTTTCTGGCAGGTTCTCAGAGTCTCATCATCTAAATCATGTTTGAGATTATAGCCTAGAATATGTGCATCCCCTGACTGGAAGGGCTTGAATAGTTTGTCTTTAATCTGGGTCTCATTTATTGGCACTGGATCCAAGAGACATTTCTCCATAAGCTGTTTCTGTTTTTTTCGCAGGAGGTTCACCTCCCTGTACAAATTTCTTAGTCCTATATTTTCCTGAATTCTCTTCCAAAAGGTCTTATTGAAGTGCTGGTAAAGTTTCCAGTCCAGTGAGCACCATTCTTTTACTTTTTCCTTGTTCTCAGGGGTCAGACTCTGGATAGTGTCTGGGCTTCTGGAGTTCATTTTGAAGTAAACCACATCATCCAGATCCCAGCACAGGAAGTTTTTCAGAAGGACCATGGACTCATCAAAGTAATCTGCTATCAGAATCAGGTGGAAATCCTGTTCAATCATCCTGAGGACAGACTGGGTATAGTTCTCATCATCCTCTGCATTGTTATCATAACCAAAGTCAAACCACATGTTATTCTTGGCATAAATGTTATATCCAGATTCACTCTTATTGTAATATATCCCAGGAGAAGCTAGATACTCATTCACATCCCTTGATTTTTTAAATGCAGGTGCATAAGCTTTATAATAGACATATGAGGACTCCAGCAGAGAAACAGGGTTTCTCAGGATAGAAAAATAGGTAGTGTTGACTGGCATCACTTTTCTTACCTATTTATGAGGAGAAATCATAGTGATCATGAATATAAATGGATTGATTATCTGTGTGAGATATTCTCATGTACAGAATGGTACCAGAAGATGGAATTTAATAGAAAATAGGTCAAAATAACAAGCATAGTGTAGATTACTGGCAGTGAATTAAACCACAGTCAAGCTGAGAAGGTATAAACATTGTATTAGAGTCTATGGTTATTTACAGGCGTGCCTAGTAAGAGCATCAGCCACTTACAAAAACATTTTCCCTAAGAACATTTTTCCTACTGTGTATTTAGATTAAACTCCCTGTAACACAAACAACTTCTTACAAGAAACAGAGCACTAAGGCGCTGCCATATTGCTACCAACAGATATCAATAATACAGGTTGTAGGATCCATTTAATTTTTTGGAAAGAAAGGATCCTGTATTCAGCATACGGGGTCTTTATTGTTCTCACTGGGAATGTCTACAAAAGATGTTAACTGCACAGTAGCCAAATAATACTGCGCAGCAGCGCACAACAGCAACAACCGTGCTAATACACTACTGCACAGTATTATTAGGATACTCCGCAGTAGTGTCACTAAAAAAGTGTTCGCCAGTAAATGCATAGTAACCACTGAACAGTAGCATCTCGTATAGATGCACCCATTGTGACCTAGTGAATAGTTTGGTGGATTATGTAGGCATCTGCTTGAGGGAGCTTCCGGCTGTGTGGCCTGCACACCCCTAAACACCAGACAGCCATTGGGTCAACCTCACATAGATGAATGCAGAAGGGCACAGTGGGTTCAGGCCAACAGTAGGGCCAAAGATCTATTGTTCTATTGCACGGGGCCCAAATGCTGAAAGTATGAAAGTAGAGGTGATTCCACCCTCTCATTAAAGAGATAAAAAAGAGAGGTTTAGTTCAAGTGCTCCCAGAAATATTTTTAAGCATGGGGACACTTATACATGAGATGCAGGAGGCTGCTGGAGTGCAGTAATTGCCACACTCCAGCAGACTTGACTAATCTGGCCTGATCAATTAACTGAGTCTGCTCCAGCGTGCTGGAATTCCAGCTTATCAGAATAGCCTCCACGCTTGTGTATATGTGTCCAGGGAGACCAAAACAAAGATCAGTGCTGAGGCTAGCATATTACTTTCTGTTTCCCAAAGCAAAAGGCCACACCTGAGTCACACAAGTCAAGCCCAGTGGTTCTGTAAATGATTATCAATACAAAGATCCCTAGAGGGATCTCTCAAGAGTAGTGGGAATTCCCTGGCATGAATGAACTTTGAGGCTGAAGGCAGGGACATGAAATCCTAGCTCAGAACATAGGATACTTGTAAATCAGGGGAACAGAGCATAAGGAGTGATATTTAGTAGCAGGAAAAAATACTGCAGTCATTTCACAGAATAACTCCTCCCTAATTCTTACCTCTTTGAGGTTGAACCTCAGATGGTTGCACATGATGTTGTAACTTGGCCCCATGGTTTTAAATTCCTCTACAAACTCTGCCTCAAAGCTGTCAGGGTAGCCCAGATGGAATTTCCGGCCAGCTGGAAGGGCCACTGTAAGACTGAGTTTCTCCGTAAACCGAAACAGGATGTTCATGACAGTGCTGCTGGCTGTTTTGTGGGTCTTCAGGAACATGATATTAGTTCTGGGGTGACAGGGTCCCTGGTAAAAAGTGAAGCCCTTCCACACTCTGGATGAATTTAAAGCACAGGAGAAATATTCTCTTTAGTGTCATAATCCATCTTGTGTACCTGAGTGACAGTGCTGCTTTTGCCACAGTATCCTACCCTCCTGGTCCTCCCCCTTTAGTCCAATGAACTGAAAGAGTTTGACTGGAATTAATAATGTTCTTTATGATATCTTGACCAACTCCCCAGAAGATGTAAATCAGCATCACACCACTGTTATCATCAGGCTAGGTACCCAGCTGGTACATATCAGCATTGCTTCATTGAGGTCAAGGAACCAGATGCCCAGGTGCTGTAAATAAGCAAAGCTCCATAATATAATCACCTTATTTACTGTTGAGGATGCAAAAGGGGCCTTAGCTTCTTCTGCTCAATCCTCTTTCTTGTTTTTGTATTAAAGCATTTACCCCAAATTGCTGGGAGACCATGCTGCCCTTTTATAACTATCTCACTGGTTAGCGTGCTAAATATCAACTGAAGGCCCTAATACAGGGCTGTCCAACTGAAAGCCTATGGGCTACACAGGCTCATGATGGATTAAATGTTGGCTCCTGGGCTCCTTGGTCAGCTCCCTGCTAACTGCAAGGGGCAGGAAACCAGTTCTCATCCTTTGCAATATCACTAGAGAAAGCAGACTTACTGGATGAAGTTTATATTCAAATGAAAGAAGCCACACAGAAAGAGGATTCCCAGCCAAAAAGTAAAAAGTGCCAGGAATTTCATATGCCTGAAAAGGAAAGGGACATTCCATTAGTCTCATTCAGTATATATCAGCATAACCTCCCCCTTTGCAACACACTACAGGCCAGGTACCCATAAGGTGCCCAAGTACAATTCTGTTTTCTTCTGCTAAAGTCCCTGAATGACTGTGGCTGTGTCTACACAAGATGCTGACTACATAGTAGCTCGTTCCTACTGCACAATAGCATCATGTGGCACGAAGCGTGATGTGATGCTACTGCACAGCATGGCAGAATGCCACCTCTGTCTCTCCCCAAAAATTCTGCTATGTGACAATTTGGTTAACATGGTCACTGAAAAGGGCAGACTCCTCTGCCCCCTCTCTCAGGTGACCTCAAGTTGTATCTGAGCTGGATACATTCCTGAGGGAGGGGGGAAACCTGCTGTCTCTGCCTACATGATTGGCATCACATACCTGGGTGAGGGGCTTATGCTCCCTATTGTTCTAAGCAATGCCAACCTGACTGGAAGGGGGCTAAAGACCCTGCCAGCCTACCTGGCAACCAGAGATGCATTTCAAATTGGTTGCCTGGCAACCAACAGGTGCTGGCCTCCGTTGGAGCAGGTAAATGAGGTCATAAGGTCTATATAAGTTAAGGACTGCCCAGGAGAAGGTGCACTAGCCATGATGAAAACTTAGAAGTTGGACCACCTGAAACTTCCTCCCTCTTGAAATTCATGACCAATAAACTGCCTGCCTCCAAAGGGAATCTCTACCTGCCTCTGAATGACACTCCTCAGTAAGCTACCTGAGATCTAATTAGATATATAGTTTGCAGTAACTCAGATGCGTGATCAAAAGCTACCCAGCCACCCCATTTGCTTTATGGGATTTCTCTGATATTGCTCTACCGTGTACCCTATTCCACATCTACTCCTTGTAACCAATAAAGTTCTCCTTTGTACCTAGTTTGGGAGACTTATTGGGACAGGGGCTAGAATATGCCTTGGGGTTCCCTTGGTTCCACTGACTAAGGAAGACCACTACTTATGCTTCAGACTAAGGGAAGCACCCCAGGTTCTTGAAGTGGGTTGAGTACCCTCAAGGGTTACTAGGCCTGTGTTTACCAGGGGGCACAGAACCAGGATCAGTCCAGATCCTGGGTGGTGGCGGCATTACCCCCAGGCTAGTGGGTGTGCTCCAGGAAGGGGGTCGGCTAGATGTGAGGCATCCCCAGGGAGGCACTCAGCCTGGAAAGTGGTCGGGCGCAGTGAGGTGGGTGGTTCAGCACAGGAGCACCCCCTACTGGCCCACCACACACAGTAGTAACAAGCTGTACTGTCAGTGTCTCGTGTAGACGTGGCCCATAAGCAGGTGAATGGGTCCTTCTCCTCTCCTGCTTTTTTTTGCAACTCAGTCTTAAAGGCCAGATGAAGGTGTGCAGCAAATACAGATGTATTAGTGGATTTCCAGGGACTTGAACAAGGTGGAAGGGAATTTCACTAAGGCACCTCAGTCCACATACATGCCCAACAGGAGGAATAGAACCTAGCCCTAAATGTCCACAGTAGTCCTGGTAATAATGTGCTGTTTAAATTACCTCAGATTTTCAGGCCCCCTGCCTCTTCTCTGCATTAAATGGAATTCACAGTGCAGTCAGCAACTAGCTTCATTCAGCCCCTTTCTCTCTCTCTCTCTCTCTCTCTGTCTCACTCTTTCTGTTAGGAACTCTGATGTTCTTTCCATTGAAACAAGAGAGTTTGCATTTTAACAATTACAGTCTTTTTTTGTAAACGTACATAACTCAAATAGAACGTAAACCAGAACCTGCTAGAAGCTGCAGCCAAGGTCTGTCTGATCTGTTCCTGCACTCTGCAGTCACAAACCACGCACATTCAAAAATCATGAGTTAAGCACTGCTGCCCCTCCCCTCTGCCCCCCAAAGGAAAAAAAAATAGTGTTTTTTTTTTTAAGTGCCTTTTTCCCTTTCCCTTCTGGGTTTTAAGCTTCAGCATTCACTTACTTTACATTTTCAAGCTTTTCTGAGTTACCATAAAGGCCTAGGAACTTACTCTTCATACATATATTTCAAATTACTTATATCTCAAAGCTGAGATATCAATCATGTGGCTCCAGTCGGTAGGACTTTAAGAAAACACCAAATATTACAAGGCTTTTAATAAAAGCACAACAAGTAGCAATGCAGAGTCCAGGCCCTGCTTTCCAAAATGGCAGATAACCTTTGATCTCTTCAGCCACACCTATCCCCCTGCATAACAATGACAGCTCTTCCATGTATTAGCTATACCACTAGAGGGCTGTATCCTCTCTTCCTCCTAGTTTTTTTGCCCTCCCTCCACTCCTGTCAGCCTGTTGTCATTTTGTTCTGGTTGTAATCCAACTTTATATTGTAGGCTCCGACATAAGACCTACTATACTTGATTCTAATTTCTATAAGGGCCTCTGAATTGTACTTGAGCAGTGTCTTTGGGCCACTGAAGTCCATTTGTTCGTACCTGCCAAGAATTTATCCCAATAATTTTGTTTATTATGATTAAACCATAATATTCTCTGTAGTTTATTTTCCTGAAGTTACTGAAGTGAACTCTTCTGTAGCTAAACAGACATTAAGAATTTGTATTTATAATACAATGCACTGATCTCTACTGTGATATCAAAAAGATTAGCATGCATTTCTCTAGGCAGCTGTTTATAAACATATAATTCACAGATATTTTAGACTTGAAACGAATAAACTGATCAACAGAAAACTAACTCTTGATAAAATTTACTCCAAACAATTCTGCTTTTCAGAGCTGGTCAGAGAACCCCATGTGGTTGGCCAAGATGTCCTACATGAAAATTGAGCAGAGCACTAAAGAGTTCTCATCTTCAAATCAGAATTAATATTCTTGTGCTCGCAGGGAAGTTGCAAAGACAATGCATTAGTGCTGATGAGTCTCAGGTAGTAGAGCGGAGTGTGACTGAGGAAAATTTTTTAGTCCATTAATACCCATTATTTGGTACAGGGCTCAGAAGAGGACAAATGAAACTTATTTGGCTCTGATCTGACCAGATGAGATGCACAGGGCTAATCCATGGCCCAGATTGGGCCTCTGGATCTTCCTCCTTCTGACACTATTGTGCAAGGCACTGCACAAACATCTCATAAGAGGCATTTCTGACGTACAACTTCCAGTGTAATTTAAGACAAAACACTGCAAGTAAATATAACAAGCTATCACAAGGAGACTGCTTTGTGGGACAGAAATTTCTGTGTCTAGAAGAAAGGAGCATGGATCACAGTTTAGAAATACATACATCATAATAACAGAAAACAGCAGAGGAGGGGAATATTGTTAGTAGATACACAGATTAGCTATAGGCATGGCTAAAGGGCTTTGAATGCTGTCATCATGAATTATAAGATATGAAAAATCTCATCAGTAGTTGATCTCTACTGACCTGAACAGGATGTGAAACAGCGAGAAACATGCATGCTTCTGAACTAGATTGTCAGTTCCATGAGCCAGCCAGTCCCCCATGGTCTAACTCTTTGCTGTTCCCCACTTCTCCCTTCATCTCTACAAATTTCAGGTGACTCATACACACATCTGCACTCAAGGTGACCAGCAGTTTTCATGTTGTCCATCTCAATTTGGATATTGTAGGGTGAAGAGCATCCTTATACAAAGGGGTCAGCATAAGTTCCACATCCCAATAAAGCCCTCAAAGCAGGACTTGTGTGAGACAAAGGCCTCCACAAAGCCTATGCCCCGGGGCAAATTTCACCCCTACAGAGCAGCCCCCCTCAGTATGGCACCTACCTCTGTGGGCTACTTGAGAACTCTTGTTCTCCTTGAGTCTGGTCCTGAAAGGTGCTGACCATTTTAATTCCAGTCCAGCCAAGAACTTAAATCCATGCATAGTTTTAGGCACCTGTGCTGTTCCACTGACTTTGCCTTGCAAAACGCATGTAGGATGAAGACAGTAAGATAGGCTTAAAAATGAGAATGTTTGTTTTTTGTTTTGTTTTTTTATCAGAGACATCCCTTAATCTCCAGCTCCACTGAAGTGCTCTCAATCCTATAGTTGAACCTACATCTGTCAAATAAGGTTTGATCCAAAGACTGTTGAAACCAATGGAAATTTTTCCAATAATACCAACAAGCTTCAAATCAGCCCTTTAAGCTGGCATCAAAGCACATCATCCTGAGATGCATCTTTCTCAGAGGGCTCTGTGTTGCTCATTACGCATCTTATGCTGAGGTTTCACTACTGTCCTGCCAGCCAAGTTACACCACAGGCCAGTCAGCAGCTCTGAATCAGATTTGTTGTTTTTTTCACAGTGGATATATTTCATGATGGATAGGAAGGCCAGTGGCAGCTCCATCTAACTGTGAAAGGCTAACAAGTTGGTAATGGAAATAAAGAATGAATCTGCAAGAAAGACATGGACCATAGCTGTTTTTTCTGTCCCAAGGGACTTTAAAATTACAGTAAACACAACTTCTTGTTCTCACAATCCCATTTTCAGCATATCCCTGAAGCAGGCCAGGGGACTATAACGTTACCAATATACATTAATTCTGAAAATTAACCATGTTTCTAGACGACAAGAGAGACCAAATCTTTTGCCTTCCCGATTGGTCAGCAAGCCTTGCCAGGGTTCCTTTCTTTTCAGTGCCCCGATGAATCTGTAGAAGCAATCACTAGTGGCCTGCTCATATGGGGTTAATTAAATGCTGACATACACTAATTATTAAAGTTGATGAGTCCCATTAAGTCAATCTTCAGTTGCCATTTCCTTCCTGAAACAGCCAATTTTTTTACCAAGTTTGCTATGTAAATACAAGTTACAGGGCTAAAACAAAAGCAGTCCTTCATCAATATACTTGCAAGTCTCTATTCCTGTGACTTCTTAGCAGCTACAACAGTCTTCTCTCACAACGTATTTATACAAGACTGTGTCACTGTTACATAAGATTTGGAAAGGTAAAAGAGGTACCGGAAGCAGCAGGAATTACGATCATTGAAGCCATCTG